ATAAATCATTGAGCATCAGTACTTTCTAAGTTGCCGAAATAGATAAGAACTGCAGCTGTGTACGTTGTTGAAGAAGACGATCCTGTCCCTCCACCAAGCATCAAACAAGCACTTGAAGCAGCGAAACTATTAAAAAAATACTTTTTATATAATCAAATTGATCCAGCAGTAACTCAAGATATGAGTAAGATACGTAACAAAATACAATTAAAATATTGGAGCAGCAAAAAACATCAGACGAAGATAACAGGCTATACGCAATGTATGAATAATAATATTCGTGTGCAAAATGTGTACTATATTAGTAAATGCACATTATTATAGAATAGTAAAATAATATCTTTTATTTCTCTCCATTTAACGACCACACTTTATAACGTCAAAAAATGTTCAGTTCCTTAAGTGTCGTTATATAGAGTTTACACTGTATTTCTTACTCTTTCTTTGTTTCAACAAACTAGACTGGAAATAAATCAGCTGCATTTCAAATTCTTCAATTTCCAACCAATCGAATTGGGACAAATTCAGTTTATCAAATGACGTCACATCAGGGTACATAATAAACTTGGGTATTTCCGATAATTCTCTGAACTGAGAAAATTTCGCTGAAAATTCCTTGATTAAAGGATCAATCACAGAAATGTTGGTGACGTGCCCAAAATATTGTATCACGTGCCATTGGTTCGCCATCCCTGGTCTATGATCATAAAGGTAGAAAATGACAACACTTCCGAAGTGTGTCAGTGAGTGTTCATGGTCCTTTTACAGGAATATGAACGTTAAAAATATCTCATTATCCGGAAACAGTGTGAAGAAATTATTATTGTATAACTGTGTTTATTAACTATTTCACGAAATAAGCAAATTTAAGTGAAATAATCGCGTATTTCAAGAAATCGGCAAGTTCTTTGCTTATTTCATGTATTAGACAAAATTTTGCCGAGTACACGCAATAGGCATTTACACGTACTCCTCGTAACATGCGTATGTGTATGTCGTTAATAATCATTTATCACCATTTTTTAATTTTATATTATATAAAAGGTAGGAATAGAAAGTGAATAATTGACAATAAATTCTAAGATACTTTACCCTAAATTACTACAAATAATTTTTGAGAAATAGACGCATGTATTTCGTCCTCCATGAGTGTCGTCCAACGTGAGACAGTCTCTCACATATTCAAAGAAGGCAAAAGACATCCTATTTTCAAAAATTACTTGTGGTAATTAAGGATATTTGGGAGGTATGTCAAAATGCTACGAGACAAATAAAAATATGGAAGAACGTTCCTCATTCAATTNTTTCACTTTATATTTCAACCATGTGTTATCCGGCCAAAGAATTCTTACTCCGAGGGCATTCCTATAGATCCCTTTTTTTCAAACAGTATTTATATGAAGTGTTAAAATCTAGTAAAGCAATAAAAGAATATATTAAAATTTCTTCAAATAGTTTAACTCATAAATCCCAAGTAATAATTTTTCTTTTAATCTTGCGTATTTGATCTTAGTATTGGTTTTATTCTTGGTCTTGTTCATTAGTTTTATACCGAATAATTTTTAATTTTTAATTGGATTTGATAAACATTTTATTATTGCCACCAACGTTTCGCCTTTCGTGTAAGTTTTCTTCGGTAATAACAGCAATAAAATATCTAATTTTACCTTAAAGTAGCATAAATTTTTAATTTTTTTTTATTTTGTTACTAAAGCTACCATCTTTTCGAGTAACCTTTGCTCTTGCATTTGTCTTCACTGTAAGACGTTTGAGCCACCAGAAGACTGTCGTATATTAGCTCATTAACCTCTCTTCATTTTGTGTAGATTTATGGAGTGTCTTTTTCAGAAATATCAATATTTGTTAATAGCACCAATATTTCAAGCATTATTAAAGTTTAATAAACCACATTTATTGTCGACGTATTATACGGATGTCATAAATTATTCATGTGTAAAAGTTCTATGAACCACTTAAGAATCAGCACAGACGAATCTTCATCTACACAAAAACCACCGTTTATGATTAAATGCTAATTTTAATGATGGATCTTTTATTGTCATCCAACAATTGTTCCTAGTTTACTTTAAATACAGTCTACAACCAATAAAACTGAATATGGATGCATAAAATCCTTAATATTGTACATTAATAAATGTAATTACAAAACAATCGTCAATAAGAAATGTCTGCAAATTTATAATAATTTTTTAATTGATTCCGAAGATGAATCTAAATTAACTTAAATACTTTGCCTTCTAGAGTCTGCAATAGCCTTATGTTCCATTACTTATTAATCGCCCTGTATACATGTATAAATTTATTGTAAATTTCCAAAAAAATACATTCACGAAAATAGTAGAACAGCTTAAAGGTTTTTATATTAATACTAGCATTTCCGCGCGGCTTCTCTAGCAGAAATTAAGACTGTTTTTCCATAAAATCTTTTAACACCTAATTCACCCTTACAACAGTTTTAATTTTATGTAATGTCGCCATCTTAGATTTCAAATACAAACGTAGCAACAACATTTCATCCTTAAGGATTGATTTTTAAAAATTGCCAATTTTCAACCATGAGCAACCTTCGAGTAAATCCGAGTACAAAAAATATATACCCCATGGAAACGTTGCAACCTCTTTTCATTTGATTAATAATATCAAACAGCATATATACCAAATTTCAAGTAAATTCAACCACAAATAATGTATGCCTCAAACAAAAATTGCAACACCTTTTTGGAGGTTGAATTTTTTAAAATGTCAGACACCATTAAGACCAAGTTTCAAGTAAATCTCACGACAAATAATATATGTTCCATTTAAACATTGCAACTCCTCTTCACCACTCGTCCCCACCCCATGGGAACGGGATAAAAAGTATCCTATCTCCGTCCCCTGGTTGTAAGCTATCTCCCCACCAATTTTTAGCCAAATCGGTTCAGCCGTCATTGAGTACTCAATAGTGTAACTTACACTACTTTCTTTTATATATTTATAGATTTGTTTGTTAAAATATAAGGCTGATGATTACGGTTTTTTTGTTAGTGAAAATCTTAAAAGTTGTTTTTCTTTTTAATTAGTAAACGTCCAATTAAATCAATCAATTACATTTACAAATGATAAAGAAAATCATTGTAATCAAGTATATACTTGTATAACTCGTTTTAATGTTGTTTTCTCACAATTTAAATAAGCAACCAGCAACTTATAAAACAAATTAAATGAGATAATCGAAAGCATTAAATAGCCAATTAGATGTCAACATTAAATTTGCCGCTTGGATACCATAAAAATGTACCAAGAGTCTACCGGTTAATCCCATGGATAGGTTAATGCACTTATAAAGCAATATAAAGTAAACCACTCTTGATGTAATGAAAAGACGATAACATACATACATACACAGATATAGCTGGCCAACAAAAATTTTTCCTTTATATGATATTAATATACAGTGCAATTCATAATGAAACTCAAAAATCTGTTGAACTCCAAAAATTTTAACAAAATTCCTGTTGTTATTGGAAGTAAAACAGTTTCCTATTTCTTGTAATAAATTAGAATGTTTAACACACTGGTTGAAACTTCGAGCTTAAAAGCTAAAGCTTCATATATCAATGTAAGAAATTGTAGAATTCCATAAATCAGTGGAAGCTTTACAATTGAAAGCACATTACAATTGTAGCGGAAGTAATTTTACTTTCCACAGAAACTCCAAAGAGAGCATTACTGGATACTGGATGTAAGCCAAGTCCTCACGAAGAAGGATATCGCTGCTTTTGTCCATTAAAAGAAACTTAGAAACATACCGTTACATACAAAATTAAATGTTCAAGTTAAAAGCTGCAATATATTTCGCTAGATCTGTACTAAATTAATAATTTATTAGAGGACTATTGAATCCTTTCGTGTGTAACCAGGACGACCAGTTTGTTTATGCACTAGAACGGAGCAGCTGTCATTTTTTGACCCTCATGTATAAATTTTATCAAACCCAGAGTGGTATAAATGTCCTTTTTCCACTTCATATCCTTCACTAGTCCAAAGTTACACAGATGGTACCGCTGCTTGCAGAACTAACCACTTACATGGAAAAACTTACACTAATCAAAAATTAATTGTTTAATTCGATCAGCGAATCGTTTTTTAAAAGATATTATGTTTTATACCCGATATAATGATTTGTTCGTTACTCATTAAGCTTTCTATAAACGGATCCACCTCTCAACGAATCAATAAAATCACTCATTAAAAATCCCTTTCACTCCATAAAAAGCTCAGTGGCTAAATATTTGATAGGCTACTTTAAAAAATCATCTTGGATCCATTGTTAATTGATCGATAATAATCATGTGAGCTTAGTGATCAAACAAAATGGAAACAACAAACTGCTGTATCCATCAATTGAAAGAGAGACTTGTTGATCAATAACGTTTCGGTAAAATTATGTAACAATTAGGAAAAATCAATAATCTATAAAAGAACAGTTTCAATGATCTCTGAGCAATTACTTAACCATATCATTAATATTTGACCTCTCTTTTTGACCACACAACTCATTCATTTACATTGCAGAAATCTTATACCTTTGGTCTATCATTAAATTGATTAATAACTGATTGATCACTCGACAAATTTAATTAAGCCCTAATGATCTTCAAGTGATAGTTTAAATTCCTTGATCGACGATTTATCATTTAATAATTATTTCACAATTCTATAAAACTGACTACCTAAGGAGAGGGTCAGAAATCGATAAGTATTGTTAATTGATCTTTGACCATTGATTTTGACTTTGGTCTCGGTCGGTGGCAAAAAAGGTCCATACGGTTGTGGTGGCAGCCGTCCTCGGAGGTGGTAAGTAAAGTCAACACAAGCAAGAAGTAAGACGCTATCTCTTGGTTACTTCTTCGGCTCGATCTTGTGCCCTCTTCTTCTTCTACTCTAACAGCGTCGTCGTCTGCTCCACCGACGGACGGCGGCTTGCACATATATGCAGAAGAACGGCCCTATTTAGGCCAGTCGGTGTAGATCACCGCTCTCGAAGCCACGAAAGTCTCTCCGAAGTGGTGTTGATGGTTTTTGAATTTTTTTATTCGTTCATGTACTATTGTTATCTATTGTACGTAGACCGAGATCGAGCATCGTAGTCGTTATCATCAAGAAGGGCTGTGATCGCGAACATTATCATATAAATCACAATAATTTTTAATCAATGACAATGGAAAGTAGGTGGTGTGCCAGTGTTTTGTTTATCTGCCTCAGCCTTGGAACTTCCGGTAAGTAAATCCGGAAACGTAGTTTTTCCGAAACGATTTGTAGTTTCTATTTGAAATTACTTGCGTTACACAGCTATTATTATCATGTGCAACGGTAGAAAGGACGAAAAAGGATAATGTTGCCAAATCATTAAAACAAAAACAGGAATTTGCACAAAATGAATCGCTTTAACAATATTTCAAATAGGATGTGTCTTGCGTTAAATAATTATTATCCTGTTCAATGGTGGAGAGGACGAAAAAGGATAATGCAACCAAATTATTAAAGTAAACAGCTTTAAGTATTTTTGAACTTCAATTTTATTTCTGGAATATACTGCTAAATTGTTCAATATTATTTTGAATCTAAGTTCGATTTTCATTCTTAATTCTATTAATATAGTTTTTTTATGATAAATGCTCGATTTTCATTTTCTTTTATTAATAAATCGATACTATTTTAATCCTTTCTCATGGGACTTTTATCAAGTTTGGAGACCAATGAACTGCTTAGTGAAATTAGAATCTAGGTATCTATAATTTTTTTTAAATTTCAATACAATTTTTTGTATAGGTAAATAGGCGCGTTTTCTCATAAAAGACTTAATGCACTTCTTCAAATAGCTGGTATTACAAATTATTTCTAGTTCCTCGGATATTAGCAGTACAATCTGGATACAGTTAGACATGATTTACTTTTGTTAGACTTAATTAAGGTTTTCTTCAAGCCGTGTTAGTTCAAATACCGCATCAAAACAATTTATCTGTGAACTCAATACTCACCCATATAATATTCTTTTAATTCTAATTGTATAAATGGAACATTTACCAATGGAATTTAGACTTACATGCACAAAACGACTTCACTACATTTTTTTGAAAAACTTTATAACAATTTTTTTTTCATTTTAGTAGCTTCGTATAAAATAATTACCAGCGTTCTTGGTATCATGATAGTTTCTCTGAAGTTGATGCATTAACTTTTAACGATGAAATACATAAATTATTAACTAAGTAGTAAGTACTATTTCCATCGCTATCATTTAATGCTTAACAGGCAAGTTCCCATTTTAAGTCAGCAATAATTATTACTACACAGTAATCCTACAATTATTAAAAGTTAAAGGTTCGCGCACACGTATTAGAATCGGACGGACGGCATGAAACCGGTACAAAACACATTCGGTATTTTAAAAAATTCGCCGAAACTCGGAAAACTAACTATATGTTGTTATGTCGAAGCCGATAAATGTTTTCCGTTTATTATTATAAACATTATAGATTCTATCTCCGAGGAAATTGTGGTTCACACTACCTAAAGATTCTCGCATCCGTTCCGTGCCGTGCCGTCCGTCCGATTCCGATATATGTGTGCGCAACCTTAAACTTATACGAACACATGCAGAAGATACATAATGTAAATATACTTGTATCGTCCAAGTACAAGAAAAAAACAACACGCACGGTAGGCAGATGAGTAGGAAGGTTGAAGTTGTTGTTTGCATATTAATTATGGCAAACTCTGTCTGCGAAATGACGCTTCAATAGAAAGCAGGACAGATCATGCTTTCCATCTTCAACGGTAACCCTAATTTCTAAAGTATACAAGAGGCCGCGACCGCAGCCAGCCGGTTTGGATACCGCAATTTGCGAATACAAAAAGCTTTTGATAATCAGACTCCGTGAAAACGGCGAAATTTAAAGGCAAAATAGCCGAAAGAATCAGAATGCGAAAATGAAATCCTTTCACTTTACCTACTATGCATTAACCATTAGTTCCCAGGCAGAATTCATGGTGAAGACAGAAAAAGACATGGATTGAGAATGTACAGTACAGTACAGTGAAGTTTGCTTGTGTCCTTAACAGCAATTTAAAAAAAATAGTACGTACAATTATTTACGTTTTACTTCTAATATATGTCTTTAACTAGCCCTTCAAATCTCAGAAGCTGTCTTAAGTTAAAGAGTAGAAGTAGGGTTGCCACATCAGGGTTACATCAGTCTTAATAGAGCGTGCGCCAAAAGGATCCAGTATCAGCGTTAGGAAAACGCAAGTCAAAAGGATATTGCTCTCCAGTCCTGGATTAGGACCATTTATAACATGCTGGTAGAACTTCGACTAAGAAATTTCCTATTATTAAGAATGTTTAGAATACTTTTTGATAAAGAACGTGTGAAATAAATCCTGATAAATCATAACCAGTAATGTGATTTATTTGATCGCGTACTTGCATTTAAAATGGAAATAAAAAATAAACAATACCTATTTTTTATCCGGCATTTAAATACCTATTTTTTTGTGGAAAGCATTTTGTATTTTATTTAAAATACTTTTCCAAGAGTATTTTCTATTTGTAAAATACAAAATACATTTTTGCCGTTAAAAGTTTTGCTACTATCACCGATGAAACATGATATAAAATGATGAATGAAATATGTTCACATTGAAGGTATTAGAAGTTTAANTCCTCTGTTCTCCTATTCTCTCTAATACCTCTTCATTTTTAACTTTCTCTATTCACCACATTTTGAAGGCTTCTAATCTTTTTTTCCGCCGCGCCCACCGTCCATGTTTGAATGCAAAATTTTAAGACACGTTTAACGTTGATGCGTTACAGAAAGATATCAAAAAATGCATCAATGTAATCCACACGAAATATCGAAAAATTTTTATATTCATTGATTATCTCCAATGAACCAAAAACGTCGTCTATATAAGGGTTAAAATAAGAACAACCTCTATAAACGGAATATAATACAAATCTCTAAGACTGTAGAATGAAAGTAATTGAGACACGTTCATAAAGGGTGCAAACCGCCTTATATAATATTAATAAAGACCACAGTAATTGACAAAATATCTTCAATTCATGCTTTTATCAATAAAAAGAAAACCATAAATCTGTTGCGACTTAGTTTACAAAAGCAGTCGATTACACGTTAAAAAACTACCCCTTATCTTGAATTATCAACTTGAGTCATGTACCATAAACTGCATTCTTATAACAATTTATCTAGATATGGAACGATAACAAATAGGCTTCTATACATGCCTGGTACAATAATAACTTTTCCATGATTTAGGTTTATAATCCAAGGGATGTCATTCAATCGACTGTTTCGATTGGTTTGTGGAATATCAATTTATATTATATACCTACTACGTTTGTAAGAGCTCCTTAATTTTAATACCATAATTTTTCCCTATTTTCATCCTGACATAGGGGATGATATTGATATCATACAAACAATCCGTAAATAACTACAGTGTAAATTCTTTATAACGTCACTCGATTTAACGACAAACTCCTTAAAACGTCGAAATTGCATGACTTTGGTTGGTTTACGTTGTTTTCTATACAATGTTACACTTTATATAGNGCTACTAGCTGTAACAAAAAATATGTTTTTAAAAACAAAAAATAAAATACCTTATTTTTATGCTGTGTACTTTTTTTTTAACCTTTTAGTCGAGAAATACTTTATGTAAAGCCTGAAAAGGTGGCAACCCTAGATACATTGTAAATATCGCTTTAATATTTAGGTAAATTTTCCTTTTTCATTTTCTCCATGGAGACATATTTAAATTTACAAGTGTGCTTCTTCGTTATTAACAGGTTTAGGAACAGAATGGCTTACGGAAAAAACAAATTAACGACAACGGGGAATTCGATTTTTTTCTGGATTTATAGAATAATAAAATATAATAGCTCAGAAAATTGCTCGAGTAAAAGTCCAATAACTGTTCCACATTCAACTTTGCACTTAATTGGCAAATCGGCTATCGCAATTATTTTAGTTGTCGGGATAATAATCCGCTTCTTAATATTTAATTTTGCGACAGGCAGGTAATAACTGTACCTGGAGGTTGTATCTATGTATTTTACATCGCATCGGCAGAACGAGAAATGCGAAAACTCAACGCGAAGTAGGCGAAATGCAGTTCCACTTCGTTGCAGTAACCTCGTTCAAGGCTGATCGTCTCTTGCATATTTTGCGACCCATGAGCCCACAGCCTCTGGCTCTGGTTCGAACACACTTTCTAGCAACTAATCGGACTTCGAGTGTCATCTTTCTTCTAATATCTAATAGGTAGGCACTTATAATAACAATCAATTATTATGGTACGTCGCGAAAATAAAACCGATGCCTTTTCTAATATGTCATTGTTAGCACATGCTATATCTAGCGTCCAACATCCTGTTTAAATAACGAGGAATACATCGATTTCCTACTTTTTAAATTGCTGCCAGCAAATAATAAATATGAGCCATCAATAAAAAGAACCGTGCACTAACACACTATTTATGTATTAAGGGAAGTTGTAGTCGGAGAACCCAATAAAGAAATTTTAGTGAAATTTTTAAATGAGAATACCGTGGAAAAAAGTTGTATGTTGTTTCGGATACAAGAAATGATATACCAAATGTAAAATTATTCTGATTAATGCTCAAAACGCAAAATATGTAGATACTTATCTAACTAACTTTTAAAGTCTCGGGTTGGTAATCTAGGTGTTAGTGTGGCCAGTAGTGGAAAGTTAGGATGAGTCCCTTTTAGTTTGTTACTATAAAACGCTTTTGGAAAAATTGGCATTCACCTTTCTTAGAAACAAAAGTGGAAAATCTTCATTTTCATTTGAGGTACATCATGATCACAATCAAATACATTTTTACTATTACCCGAAAGCGTGCATCGATCAAGAATCTTTTTATATTTGTTATCAAAGGGTAATGTAGCACTATAAGCATCTAGCAAGGAGAAGTTAGAGATAGCTTTAAATAAAATGGAAGCGGTATTGACAAAACAGTATTGTATGAAAATAAATAAAAGTAAAACTAAAATACTCGTATGCAAGGGCAGAAAAAGTAGGGAAAGAGCGAATGTAAATATAGGAGACAAAATATTAGAAGAAGTAGCTGATTTTAGGTATCTTGGAAGTCAGATAAGTCAGGACAGAATGAGCAGTATGGATATAAAGCACAGGACAGCCCAGGGTACAGTACTCTTCAATAAAAAGA